GAGAGAGAGAGAGAGAGAGAGAGAGAGAGAGAAACTTTTTTTCCATATTTCACTAAAGTAAAATTATAAACTTTCATCCCACCCAACCCTACAATAAACTGTCTAGTAAATACTCTTTTTTATTCTCCAAATTAGAGATTGAACCCAGGGGTACTCTACCACTGAGATGCTTCCCAAGATCTTTTTATTTTATTTTGAGATTGTTCTTGTTAAGTTGTTAAGGTCCTCAAACTTGTGATTCTCCTTCCTCTGCCCCTCAAGAAGATGGGATTACAGACATGCACCACCACACCAAGCTAGTAAATACATTTTTAAATGTCAAATCTCATTAGTAATAAACAAATAGTGAATTAAAATTAAGTTTTACTCTTCACCTATCAAACTGATGAAGATGTGTTATCAAAGATGAAGTGGAATATGCATATGTATGTTATGGGAATAAATGCAAATTAGAATACATTTCTCTTCTCAGAAATCAATTGGGTATATCTATCAAACATCTTTAAAAAGTTACATCTAGGTGGAATTCCATTAAACATTTTCTCTCCTTTAAAATTTTTTTTTAATTTACATAGTAATGATTTTCAAAAATCAAGGGAAGAAAAAAAACTGTTTATACCCTATGATTCAATAATCCCTGGGCTATAAATAAACCCTGAGGAAATAATCATAGATGTGGCTACATACTTATAATACACCAATTTAATGCTAACAGTGGAAAAATAATCTCAGTAACCCAGATGGGAGAGACTATGGGTAAAGTAAGGTATATGCATGCATACAATAGAAAAAATACAACCATAAAAATCACATTTTTAAAGAAATCCATGTTATCAAGAAATTTTGTGGGAAATTCACATAATGTTATATTGGAAAAAAAGTAGGATGTATATCTTTGAGTATGGTGTTAAAGTTTTGTTTCTATATGTGCCTATAAAAGAGAGACTGGATGGAGATATTCTAAAATACTAATAGCAATTAACACTTAGTGGTGGAAAAGTGATTTTTACTTTCATTTTTATGCATCTATGTATTTTTAATTTTGTATAATGAATATGCATATATTTTATAAACAGAAAAACTGAGTATCAGAAAAGAACATTTTAAATGTTTTTTATACATGATCAAAGTTCTTAAGTTATTTTATACCATTAAACAATAGCTGGGCATGGTGGCTCATGTCTGTAATCCCAGCAATTTAAGAGGCTGAAACGGGAGCATCACTAGTTTGAGGGCAGCCTCAGTCACTTAGCAAGACCCTATGAAACTTAGTGAGACTGTATGTCAAAATAAAAAGTAAAAAGGGCTGGGGATGTGACTCGGTGTGTAAGTTTCCTGGGTTCAATCCCCAGCACAAAAATAAATAAATAAATAGCCTTGCTAAAATTTTAGCTTTTTTTTCCCCCTAAACAGATATCTATATCTGTAAACAGATATATTTTAGTTGTCAAAGGATCTTTTATTTATTTATGTGAGACGCTGAGGATCGAACCCAGGGCCTCACACATTCCAAGAAAGCACTCTACCACTGAGCCACAACTCTAGCCCTAAAGTTTTAGTTTATAAAAAAATTGTCATGAAGAAAAAAGGAAAACCAAATTCTTGTTAATTTATCAAAGTTTTGCTATGCATTCTAAAAGTAAGAAAATATTGAGCTAGAGGTATAGCTCAGTGGTAGAGCACTTCATCTTGCATGTATGAGGCCCTGGGTTTGGTCACTAGCACCATAAAAGACAATAAAAATTTAAAAATAATTAGCAAATCCATATTATTCCTAAAATGATTGGAGGTAGATGAAATACAAAGTATAATATAACCTACATTGAAAGTAAATTAAAAAGATTCAATAGAGGAAAAATAATAATTGGGACACAAATGGAACCTAAAATGAAATTAACCACAAAGTTCAGTGCATTTACTATGAATTGATTACAGTATGGCTTTAAACTTTCTAGATCTACAAAATGATTATCAACCAATTCAGACTTTTTTGAATTAATCATTCAAAAGAAGCATATTTCTGGTACTAAGAAATTTCTCTTTAAAATCTTCATGAAGTGGAATCTGTATAATATAACAAGGAACTGTGGCAATAACTTAATAATCAGTGTAGAAGGTTCAAGGACCTCTTACAGAATCCCTTAATTCAGGTTAAAGACATCACTCATAAAAGCCTAGTTTTCACTTTCCAGGATGCCTCTATCTTACACTATCAAGTACTTATAAAGAAGGGTTATTGTTTAATCATTTTTGTATCTCCATCATTTTGCACAGAGTAGGGTTGTAGAGTGAATTAAATAACATGCTACAATCTACCTCCAGGTAAAACAAAGTCCTACTCAAAATAAAAATGAAAGTCAGGGCTGGGATTGTGGCTCAGTGGTAGAGTGCTCACCTAGCATGCATGAGGCACTGAGTTTCATCCTCAGCACAACATAAAAATAAAAATAAAGATACTGCATCCACCTAAAACTAGAAAATACATATTTTTAAAAAATGAAAGTCAAATATCAATAGTTGGAAGTTTCTAGAGATGCTTTTTCATTAACAATAAAACTGGAAGAAAATGAACACAGTAGTGTAGAGAGGAGATGGTAATATAAAATCAATAAAAAATCCTGTACCGTTGCACAAATATGAGCTCATATTCACATTAAAATTGATGTTTTCTAGTGAATCTTGAAATCTTGAAATTGAACACATATGCATAGGAGTTTGCTGACTCCTACAATTTTTTAACCTCAAGAATTCTTTAAAAAAGGCTTTCTAACATAAACTAAGGGACTTATTATATATCACAAACATGATTTAAAGCATTGCTTCTAGTGATTATAAATATAGTCAAGATGCTGCCACAAAAACTTGAGCTAATCTTTTTACCTTATTATATATATCAACATCTCCAACTGGAAGAAACTGTGATATATTTATAAAAACAAATGTTTCCATAGTACTTTCACTCTAAGACCAATGCCATACTTATAATGAAAGCAAAATGTAGTACCTTCTATATTCTGCTCCTCTGAAAAGGTTTAAAGGGTTTCTCCATACCTTGCATTCTGAAAAACATGGGGAAAAAAGAGTTCAAACAAATGCAGTCAAATCTTCATTTAATCAACATTCACTGTCTACCCAGTTATTCTAAGCACAGAACTAGCCACAGATGATACAAAGACAAATAAACCATTAATCACCCTGGCTCTCAAGAAGCATAGAATTAAATCTAGTCATTCCCTTATTTCTGTCTCCATAGTGTTTGGTTCATAATTCAGTTATGTCAGTTACCATTTAAAATGTGATTGATTATCTGTTTGGATTTTAATTTCACCTCTCAAATATGATATCTTAGCTCACTTTTATGTTTGTGAAGCCTACCACAGTATCCGGAACTGACTTTTTTTAACTGAATTAAATACAGCATGAATGTTAGTATTATGAACCATCACCTAAACTGTATGACAAGTGCTATAGTTGAGACCTGTTTTATTCCAACCAAAAAAAAAAAAGGAAAGTGAATTTTTCTCTGGAGGAATCAGCGAAGGTTTTAGGGAGTAGGTGACATTTGAACTGATGCTGAATCATTGAATCATAAAAGATGAGTAGAAGATTGCCACATTCAAAGCAGAGGAAGTACCATAAAACTGTACATCATGTTTAGGCTAGAGCAGATGGTAGGGTGTAGGAGGAAGAGCTGAAATAAAGGTAGAATGAAGGAAATTGATGAAGAAACTTATATTCCATTTTAAAGAGTCTGAAGATGATATACAATCAATCAACAAATATATGAAAAAAATGTTCATCATTGCTAGCAATTAGAGAAATGTAAATCAAAATCACTCTTAAGATTTCATCTCACTCCAGTCAGAATGGCAGCTATTATGAACACAAATAACAATAAATGTGGGCGAGGATGTGGGGGAAAAGGTACACTCCTACACTGCTGGTGGGACTGCAAATTGGTGCAGCCAATTTGGAAAGCAGTATGAAGATTTCTTAAAAAATTGGGAATGGAACTACCATTTGACCTACCTATCCCTTTGGGTATATCCCAAAGAGTGGTCTATACCCAAAGGACTTAAAAACAGCATACTACAGGGACACGGCCACATCGATGTTTATAGCAGCACGATTCACAATAGCCAAACTGTGGAACCAACCTAGATGCCCTTCAATAGATGAATAAATTAAAAAAATATGGCATAGACACACAATGGAATATTACTCAACAATAAGAGAGAATAAAATCATGGCATTTGCAGGTAAATGGATGGTGTTAGAGAAGATAATGCCAAGTGAAGTTAGCCAATCCCCAAAAACCAAATGCTGAATGTTTTCTCTAATATAAGGAGGCTGATTCATAGTGGGGTAGGGAAAGGAAGCATGGGAGGAATAGACAAACTCTAGATAGGGCAGAGGGAGGAGAGGGGAGGGGAGGGGGCAGGGGGTTAGAAATGATGGTGGAATGTGATGGACATTATTATCCAAAGTGCATGTACGAAGACACGAATTAGTGTGAATGTACTTTATATATGACCAGAGATATGAACAATATTGTGCTCTGTGTAATTTGAATTGTAACACATTCTGCTGTCATATCTAAATTTTAAAAATTAATAAAAATAAATTAGGGTCTAACAGAGAGGAAAAAAGGAAAAATAAAACTTTATTGTGGGAAAAAAAAGTCTAGATATAATCTTGAGTCAGTGAGAAGCTATCAAAGGATTATAAGCAGAATAACAACAAATATCAAAGCAGTTCTTAAAGTATGATTCATGGAAATGCAAAGTAGCTGTTTTCATAGTAAATTCTGAGACATGATTTGCCTTTGTGTTGACGTGGACTCAGTTATATGACCCTGAGAATGAGGGCATCTTTAAATTTTGTGCCCTAGGCAACTCATTTATCTTACCATCCTGCTGCACAATTTAATATTAACATATTATAATTTAATATAAAATCTAATAGTATCAAGTTAATGTGGGTATAACCACTACACTTTTTTTATTTTGGTACTGGGAATTGAACCCAGGGGCTCTTAACCATGAGCCACATCTCCACCCCTTTTTTATATTTTATTTAAAAAGAGAGTCTCGCTGACTTACTTAGGTTCTTGCTAAGTTTCTGAGGCTGGTTTTTTTTTTTAAAAAAAAATTTGTTCTTTTTAGTTATACATGACAGCAGAATATATTTGGACATACTATACATAACTAGAGTAGACATCCCGTTTTTGTGGTTGTACATGATGTGGCATTATACTGGTCATACATTTAATGAACATAGGAAAGTTATGTCTTTCATTCTACTGTCTTTTCTATTTCCATTCCCCCTCTAATTCATTCTACTGTCTTTTCTGAATTTCCATCTCCCCTCCCTTCCCTTCATTCCCCTTCGTCTAAAATTCAATGAACTTCTATTCTTCCCTCCACCCCTGTTAATGTTCTGCATATCAGAACATTCAGCTTTTGGTTTTCTGGGATTGGCTTATTTCACTTAGCAAGATAGTCTCCAGTACCATCCATTTACTGGCAAATGCCATAATTTCCTCCTCCTTAATGGCTGAGTAACAGTCCATTGTGTATATGTACCACATTTTCTTTATCCATTCATCTGTTGAAGGACACCTCCATAGTTTAGCCATTATGAATTAAGCTGCTGTGAACACTGATGTGGCCATGTCACTATAGAAAGCTGATTTTAAGTCCTTTGAGTATAATAAACCAAGGAGTGGGATAGCTTCGTCGAATGGTAGTTCCACTCCAAGTTTTCTGAGGAATCTCCAGACTGCTTTCCAGAGTGGTTGCACCAATTTGCAGTCCCACCAGCAAATGCATAGGTGTAACTTTCTCCCCACATCCTCACCAACATTTATTGTTACTTGTATTCTGACTGATAATCGCCATTCTGACAGGAGTGAGATGAAATCTCAGTGTAGTTTTAATTTGAATTTCTCTAATTGCTAGAGATATTGAACATTTTTTCACATATTTGTAGACTGATCATACTTCTTCTATGAAATGTCTGTTCAATTCCTTTGCCCATTTATTGATTGGGTTATTATTATTATTATTATTTGGTGTTAAGTTTTTTTAGTTCTACTCTGTATACAGTGTAGGTGGCAAAGATTTTCTCCCATTCTGTAAGCTTCTGTTCACATTTTTGATTGTTTCCCGTGCTGTTAAAAAGATTTTTAGTTTGACACCATCCTATTTATTGATTCTTGATTTTATTTCTTGCACTTTAGGGAGTCTTGTTGAGGAATTCAGTTCCTAAAGCTGACATGATGGAGATTTGGGCCTACTTTTCCTTCTATAGGCTCAGGGTCTCTGTTCTAATACCTAGGTCCTTGATTCACTTGGAGTTTTGTGCTGGGTGAGAGATAGGAGTTTAACTTCATTTTGCTACATATGAATTTCCAGTTTTCCCAGCATCATATGTTTAATAGGCTACCTTTTTTTCAATGTTTGTTCACGGTGCTTTTGACTAGTATGAGATAACCATATTTATGTGGGTTAGTCTCTGTGTCTTCTATGCTATACCATTGGTTTTCATGTCTGTTTTGGTGCCAATACTATGCCGTTTTTGTTACTATAGCTCTGTAGTATTGGTGTTGTGATGCCACCTGCTTCCCTTTTCTCTCTGAGGATTACTTTGTCTATTCTGGGCCTCTTACTTTTTCAAATGAATTTCATGACTGCTTTTTCTATTTCTATGAAGAACACTGTTGGAATTTTAATTGGAATTGCATTAAATCTGTATAGTGCTTTTGGTAGTATGGCTATTTTGACAATACTAATCTTGCCTATCCAAGAACATGGAAGATCTTTCCATTTTCTAAGGTCTTCTTCAATTCCTTTCTTTAGTGTTCTATAGTTTTCACTGCAGAGGTCTTTCACCTCTTTTGTTAGATTGATTCCCAAATATTTTATTTTTTAAAGCTATTATGAATGGGATAGTTTTCCTAATTTCTCTTCCAGTTGACCCATTGCTGAGGTATAGCAACACAATTGACTTATGGTTGTTAATTCTATATCCTGCTACTTTGCTGAATTAATTTATGAGTTCTAAAAGTTTTTTGGTGGAATTTTTTGGGTCTTCTAAATATAGAGTCATGTCATGGGCAAATAGGGATAATTTTAGTTCTTCTTTTCCTATTTGTATCCCTTTAATTTCTTTCATCTAATTAATCTGGCTAAAGTTTCAAGGACTATGTTAAATCAAAGTGGTGAAAGAGGGCATCCTTGTCTTTTGCCAGTTTTTAGAAAGAATGCTTTCAATTTTTTTCCATTTAAAATGATGTTGGCCTTGGGTTTAATGTATACAGCTTTTACGATGTTGAGGTATGTTCCTACTATCCCTAGTTATTCCAGTGTTTTCAGCTTGAATGGATGCTGTATTTTGTCAAATACTTTTTCTGCATCTGTTGAGATAATCATGTGATTCTTTTAAGTCTATTTATGTGATGAACTACTTTTTTTGATTTCTGTATGTTGAGCCAACCTTGCATCCCTGGGATGAACACCACTTGATCATGGTGCACTACCTTTTCAATATGTTTTTGTATGCAATTTGCCATTATTTTATTAAGAATTTTTGCATCTATGTATGTACTGAGGCTAGCCTTGAACTCACAATCCTCCTGCCTCAGCCTCCTGAGCTGCTAGGATTATAGGCATGTGGCACCTGGCAAACCATTATACTTTAGCATGAGTCAAGGCAGTGATGCCAAATTGTACTAACAGTCATTGAATTCTTCGCCCCAAATCACTGTAGTATAAACAAGGCAATTTTTTCCTCCCTGGTGCTATGAACCCAGGGCCTCATGCCTGCTAGGCAAGTACTCTTAATACTGAGAAGCATCCCCACTGGCAAACTTATTTCCTTTCTTCCCCTCCCCAACCTTCTCTTTTCAGTGCTGGGACCCAAGGCAACTTTTTAAATATTATATCAGCTATGACTGTTAGCTCCAATAAAATCAATTATTTTGTAAGTTGAACTGGTAACTTTTGTCATATAATACTTTCACTTGAAAAATCCACAAGACGACAAATTGGTGATTATTCAAATGGGTACCTAAAAGACATTTTCTTAAAAATGAAAAAGTGAGGATGTCAACCTCAAGGAAGAAAACTAACAGTATTGGTTGCGAAAGATAAAATTTTTCAAGTAACATTAAAAGTTTGAAAAATCTGTATCTCCAACTGTGAGTTTGGTAATTTCACGATACTAAAGACTTTTTTGTAAGATTTAGTAGTGATATTAACAAACATGATTTTTCTTATGTTATGCAATAAAATGTTTTAACATTTAAAATAAGCATAACACAGAGAACAAGGATTTTCCAAATAACAAATGTGATATTTTAAAACTATGGGAAAAAGATCCATTCAAAGTGAACAGATTTTAACAGAGAATGCAATGTTCAAATTCCATATTAAACTACAATTTTAGAAAGCACCCTTCAGCGAGTTTTGATGTAGTACCCCCCAAAAAAAGAATATCCACAATTTTCTGAAACATCTATTAAAATACTCTCCCCCTTTCCAACTACATACCTGTGCAAGCCTAGATTTTCCTCATATGCTTTAATTAAAACATCACAACAGACAGTGCAGAAACATATGAAAATAAGCTGTCCTATATTAAGGTAGACATTAAAGAGATTTGAACAAATGTAAAACAATGCTAGTCTCCTGACTAAGCTTTTTCTTGTTTGGGGAAATATAATTAATTTTCATAACATGTACATTAGTTAGCTTGGACTTCCATACTAAAACACCATAAATTATGTGGCTTAAACAACCCCTTTAGGGGTTGGTCTTTTTTGAAGGCAGTATCTTGCAGCTATGTAGTTTTATGGTACAGTCCTACAGAACCAAGCAGTCTAACATCATCCTTCATTTGGTTTGGTTTTGTCTCCATTAGTACAAACTGTCAATGCCTTTCTGGAATAAATCCACTTCTATTCCTGAATTCTGCTGATAGTTGATCAAGTCAAGTCCATGAGTTGGACATATTATCTCAAAAGGCTGTTCAGTCACGTCCTTGGAGTTCTTTTCAGAATAAGTTTTCTCATTTTTGACAATATAGATAGGCTGAGAGTTTTCCAAATCTTCAAGTTCTGCTTCATTTTTTGCTTAGGAATTCCTTCTTGAATTCATCTCTCCTCTTTTACGTTTCACTATAAAGCAGGAGGAAATGAGCTACTCCATCAATATGCTGTTTAGAAATATTCTCAGCTAAATATCCAATTTCACAGTGTCAAATTTTACCTTTCATAAAATGCTAAACACAGTTCAGTCAATTTCTTTTCTACTCTATAACAAGAATCACTTTTCTTCTGGTTTCCAATAACATGTTCCTCAATTTCTTCTAAGATATCACCAGAATTGCCCTGAATGTCCATATTTCTGGACACTCACCTAAAAACCCTTCTAGCCTCTGCCCATTACCCAGTTCCAAAGTCACTTATACATATTGATGTATTTGTTACAGTGGTACCATACTTCTTAGTATCAAAATATCAATTCAATTCAGGATGCCATAACAAAATATCACATACTAGGTAACTTAAACAACAGAAATTGATTTTCTCATAATGTGGAGGCAGAAGTCCAAGACCAAGGTGCTAGTATGGTTGGATTCTGGTGATGATTCTCTTCCTAGCTTGCAGACAGTAGCACTCTGCTCTTGTGTGGTGGACACCATCCTATCTTGTAAGGCTGACAATCTTATCAGATTAAGAATCCACCCTTATGACCTTATTTAATCTTAATTACTTCCTAAAAGTCCTATCTCCAAATACTATTACATTGGAAGTTGGAATTTCAACATATGAATTTTGAGAACACAATGCAGTCTCTAGAAATATGTAATAGCTTTACTGTCACATTTTAAAATTAATAATTTTTGAAATTTATGCTTAATTTCTAGTCTGACAATAATGATGAATACAATAAAAAAGTACAAGCTACTTAAGATGTTCAGTAATTTGTGTTAAAATTCCTAAATCCAATAAGTTTGAGAACCATTTTTTAATACAGTAAAGGGAGAGAATGTACTAGAAGTATTAGAGGAAGGAAAATCGTTTAGGACACTGTAGCAATAGCCTCAGAAAGAGATATCAAAGGTCTGAATACGGTATAGCAAATGTTGAAATCAAAGAAGGTAGGATGGAGCAAAGATGATTTTTGAGGGTAAATCAATATAATTTGAGGGTCAATTGTTTGGAGAATAAAAGGGAAATAAGAGATATAAACAAAAATTTCTAGTATAGAAGTTAGATATCATTAATAGATTGGGAGATTATGAAAGGAAAACTACTAGAAGAAGGTAATTAGTTTCATTTTGAACAGAGTAAGTTCAGGGTGCATAGGATCATCAAAAGTGGAGATGTCTAGCAAGAGTCAGAAATGTGGCTCTGGAACTTAAAACTTGTGAGTAGACATTTAAAATTGCTTCTCCCAGTATATATGTCTATGGAAGATAATAATAGTATAGAATGAAATGAAGTTACCCTGAGAGACTTTGACTCATTTTTGAGGTCCAATTCAAACCTGTTCTCTGTGAAACATTTTGTGTTGCTAAAACTAACTGAACAATGACTGACTACTTTTTTCTGTCACTACAGTATTATATACATACCTGATAAAAGCAGGTAACCATAATTTTTTGCTGTCAACTTATTTGTAAGTCTATATCTCCTACCAACTTGAAATGTTTTTAAGGTTATCTTCATTATCATTTTGAATGATTTGGTCAGTCTTACAATAAAGAATAAAATCACATTGTGTATTATTGCTATAATTATTCATATACTGAACTTTGAGCTTTTGAGGGACAGATATATATATATATATATAATATTCATTTTAATCTACACTGCTCTTAGGATTATTTTATGAAAGGAGAGAAAAGAGACAGTTAAGAAAATCATCATTATTCCTTCCTGAACTCCCAAATGGCTACCAACCCCACCTCTACTCATCTTGGTCTTCACCTGACCAAATTTTAAAAAGTGCCAGGATCTGTACTCGGTATTTTCTACTAAACTGACATAACTAGTGACTGGGTTTATTGAACAAATGAGACATTATAGGAATTTTAGAGAATTAATTCATTTCTTAAAATTATCATTTTTACTATACCAAATGTGAATAATCCAAAAATATCATTTTTATTTGGCTTTGAAAACTTTACTTTCCTAATTACATATCATTAATAATACTTGATTTCCATTACTGGACACATAGAGAGGAACTATCCACAATTCAAGTATGACAATGAACTATTCAAACATGAGGAACTAAACTTTGATGCCTCTGTAAGAAAACTAAAGAGAAAAAGTATTTTTCCCATTTTGCTCTCTTGGTAGAGATGGTAAATTCCTAGATTTCTCACTTGGCAAATAATAATATCTCCTGATTATTTGCTGTGTATATACACACCAAGAAAAATTTCTAGTCTCCCTTATGACTAGTGGTGGCCATTTAACAAAGGTCTGAAGAGTAGAAAGTAAGTGGAAATAATATATAATGCTTCTGGGAAATATCTTTGCCTGCCATGAGATAGATGGGGGAAATAGTGTCCATCTCCTGGCCTTTTCTCCTTCCTGCTGAATGCTTCATGGATATGATGACTAAAGCCAGAGAAAGTACATTGGACCACAAAGTAAAAACTGCATTTGAAGATGGCAGAATAACAAAATTGAAGGGATCTGATTTCTGATGATCACTGCTCTCCCCACTAGCCATGGATCACCTTTATTTACATCACCTTTATTTCTCTTTATTTTAGTCTATTTGGTTGGATGTAACAAAATACCATAAACTATATAGCTTATAAACAACAGAAATTCATGTCTCACATTTTTGGAGGTTGGGAAATTCATGATCTAGGTGCTGGCAAACGTAGTAGCATCTGGTGAGGATTCACCTTCTGGTTACGCTTTGTCCTCACAAGGTGGTAAGGGCAAATGGCTCTCTACAGTCTCCTTCATAATACCATTCAAGAGGATCCCACCTTCATGATAGGATAACCTCTCAAAGGTCCCATCTCCTAACATTATCACATTGATGATTAGGTTTCAACATATGAATTTACCAGAGCCATACAAACATTCTCAGCACACAGTTGTTTTTCAATCTCCCAAAGCCAAAATCAGTCTTAACTATTCAGCTGTGAAAATATATTAAAAAAGTAGTTACCCGATAAATTCTGTCTGCTTGTTTCACTTTGGCTGTTGCTTGAAGAAGGACCTGACTCTGAAATGCTGCTTTCTGTTCCTCCCATCAGTGGTCGCAAATGGCTTATAGATACTTGCTCAATAAAAGATGTGCCATGCTTATGGAAGTACCACCATTCAAAAATCTATGACAAAGAAAAAACATCTTTTACTTAAAATAGAACTGATCAGCAGATATATAAGCTCAAATTAAAACATTCTCTCAAGATATTCCTGTTCAATTCAACATTTTAAATGCATTTACTCCCTTCTCCCTCAAGAAAACAAACCTAAGATTTCCCCCAAAAGCACATGCCATATGAAAGTAAAATACCATTTTTATAGTTTTTTAAAATGTTTTTATTTATTTATTTATTTTAAATTTATATATAACAGCAGAATGCATTAGAACTCTTATTACTTGAGCTCCATTTTAACAAGCTTAGGCAAAACATTGCAATAAAGCATTAAGAACAATAAACGTTTAATTTATAAGTTATTTAACTGTTTGCTATGCATGCTGTTGTATGCCTATAATCTCAGTGACTTGGGAGACTGAGGAAGGAGGATGGTGAGCTCAAGGCCAGGCCAGTCTCAGATATTGAGACCCTCAACAACTTAGCAAGACACTGTCTCAAAATAAATAAATAAAAGGACTGAGAATGTAGCTCAGCACCTGGGGTTCAATGCCTAGTACCAAAAAAAAAAAAAAAAGGAACCAACCAAAAGAAGCTCTCTATGAATTAGTAGATGTTTTCATATCTGGATATTCCAACCTCTACAACTCCCTATGTCTGGTTCTTTGTGTTTCATCTTAAATGACAATTTCTCAGGGAACTTAGTTCCTGATTCCACAAAATAGAATAGGTAGTTGTGCTTCCACTAGATCTTATTTTCCTTTCATAGTAATCTTTTCACTTA